GGGGGGGATGAGGGAGGGTTGCAAGAGAGAAATATCTGCTTCGGCCACATATACTAGAATTAAAGACAGAGATGAAGAAAAATTCTTGTTAATTACCTTCCATATGTATCCTGGTACATCACCCTCTAGGTAATCTGCATGAATCCGATTGGAAACATTGACCTGAGCTTCCATTTCACCAAAGTAGTTAATAACCTTTTAGGTCTATAAGTAGTAGCATAAGCATATTTGTATACCTCAAGAAGAACTGGACCATAGACAGGTTTATTAAATTCATGTTGATGCTCCTGAACCCAATTGTAAGCTTCAAATATCTTTTCAGCACCAGAACTCTGTAAAGCACGTAACCTTTTGTTGTTTGTGTTCTCCATCTCCTTCAATCTGCAGAGGAATGAAAGGATGTGCAAGAATTTACAGTAATTATCTAATGCACAAAACACAGCAACATAATCCTGATATTTACTTATCAGAGCACTGTCTGAATGTTGTCCTATTCCGATCAAGGGTTCTTTCTATTTCTGATTTCTGAGACCTTAGCTCCCGTGCACCATCTTGCAGCTCCAAAATTTTAGAACCCAAACTATCCTGTAGATTTCAACCAGTTCAGCAACAAAAATTTGCATTAGCCAGAGATCCGTTTGGGGTATCTTACATAAAATAAAGCTACAAGACAATAGCTAAAGTAAGGTTTCCTTGAAATTCTATAATTAATGGTCAAATTAGGCATCCTTCGGTACGTAACCTCATGCCTATGGTTGTACTTTAAGCAAGTATGGTACAAGAAGCTACAGTAAAGAAAAAAAGAAGCCTACAATTTTATCTCTGGGAGGTTCATAAGGAGGAAGATTTGCAAGTTCCAATTCGGCAGCACTAAGATCTTCTTGAGCTTTTGAAATTCGACGTTGACGAGATTCTTCTTGCTTCCTCAAGTCTTCCATTTCTTTATATTTTCCATTCACTTGAACATCCTTTTATCATAGAAAAAAGTAAAAGTTGGATAGTGTAGAGGAAAAAGAAATAATCAAAATGATTATCTTATTGAGGCTCTGATAGAATACCAAACGGCTATCCTGATCCAGAAGTTTCATACGCTTGTTGGCATTTTCACCCAACAGGCCATTTACTTTTTTGCATTTAGCATCTCGTTCGGCTTTCTCTTGCTTTTTTTCCCTGAGACCAAATTGTTAAATTTAAGGAAAGTCAAAACAAGACATTTAAAAGAAAGAAAAGACGAAAAGTCAACTTGAAATGTACTTTTTGATTAGTATCCATTTGAAATATATTGAAAAAGCAGGGCCCTTAAAAAACTGAATTTTTTAATGTCAAGCAATTGCAAAAATTCACGCAATAAAAAAATGACCTGGATATTGAAATAAAGATACAAAATCTCTAACTCAATCAACAATTTACACGATAAGCTAGCATACTCTATAGGTTCCATGAGTTCATTCAAATTCTCAGCAGCTTCATCCAGCTTCTTTTTGGCATCTTGCTCTTGCCTTTTAGCTTCCAGAAACTCGGCCTTCTTAGCATCGTACTTCAGCCATGGCAATTTCTTTTTCATCGTTTCAGCCTATAAACATATTAATAACAGAAATTTTTATTTTTATTTTACTTTTTTGGGGAGATCAGTAGCATATCCTACAAACCATATTAATAGTTGATTAAAGCTCTCACCAAAGTTTAGGAAGAAGCTCCAAACTCACCTGTCCCAGGAGTTGCTCTCTCTGACGAAGACGCTCCACATCTCGTTCAAGTTGAGAATTGACTTCCTTCAGCTGATCCAATGTCTCTCTGCCACTCTTCACAGTCTAAAATCGATAATGAAATATTTTCATACAGTTTGAATTGTCAAAAAATAAGGCAAGACGTCTTCCTTGTTCACTAATAAATGCTTTGCAGTAAATTTATGAAAGCTTCCACAGATTGGCAAGTAGGAACTAACTCGTTCAGACTTCTTCAGCTCCTCACTTTTGCTTATAAGATCGACATGCTGGACTGGTAGCCGAGGATCACCCACAGCCTTTTCAGTCTCTTCAAGTAGTTGAACAGGAGTTAACTTTGCAAACTCACAAACCCTGTCTTGAGGTAGAAACTGAGGTCCTCCCCATAGAATAAGCACAAATCAGCAACTAGATTATAAGACAAGGAAGGAAATCTTACAAGAGGGAAGTAAACTCTTTATTTAGTTTAAGGTCTCAAACTTTTTAAGGAAAATATATATGATTAGTTGAAAAGGAAGAGTACCCCATGGTTCCATTTTAAGTTGACATTGTTTCCTTTGGTTTTTCTAAATAGAATGGCATATTTCTTTATTTGTGAACAACTTAACTATAAAATTCCATTTACCCTTAATGACACACTTTCAGGCCACATAAATTCATGACATGTTTAAAATCAGAAATTTCAAAAATATTTCTTAAACTTAGAGGGTGTTTGGATTGGCTTAAAAGTTGGTCACAGTTTTTGCCTTTTGGAAGTGTTTGACAAATATAAAAATAACTTAAATTAAGTTAGGAAATGTTTGGCAAGGTTAAAAATAACTTAAAATAAGTTTTTAAAAAAAGTAGGCAGGCCCCTACTTTTTATTTTTTGACTTAAAAGTCATTTAAGTTTGACTTATTATTTTTTATTTAAAAGCTACTTTTTTTAAGTCGATCCAAATGGGTTCTTAGTGCTCAATGAAACAGTGTCACATAAAATGAAATGGAGGGAGTAATTAAGACAATTAAAAAGATGTCAGGCAGAATAGATCATAACCTTGTCAAATATATTCGGAGCACACCTAAACTTCGCATTGACCTAATTACCCTCCTCAACTTGGTAATTTGATGTCATAACCCCCTGGACACTAACAACCCATGGATGTGTGACACACGCATTACCACATGGATTTTTTTGTCCATGTGCTTTTTTTAGAATAAAATATATATTTGTACCTTTCTAAGTTCACTAATTATTTAGATCATCTTTTCAGGGCCAATTCTACAAAAAAAAATGGAACAATGATATTTTGACTATAATATTTTTTATTTGGCTAAAGATAATGATATTCTAATCAAGGCCAGGAAAAGAAGAAACACACAACTAGAACGAATAATCATTGCATCTAAAGAAGAAATAAATAAAATTTCAACCAAATATTTTACATATTTGACCTGAGAAAAGAACGAGTGCGCAATTGAAATAAATAGTCTTTGCATGAAAAAATATACACATTTCTTTCCTTTATGTAGAAAATACTTGTTTGAACTTCATTAATTTGACTAATATAAATAAAGTTCCAACTAAATTTTGTAAATTTGGATCCAAAAAATGAAAAGAAATATATAGTTGAAACAAATAATCAATGCATAAGAAAAAGAATAAAAAACATATTAAGACTTAAATATGCAATATATTAAGAAAATATATAGAGAAATAAAAAAAAAATTGAATAGTAACTTTGTATATTCCTAGAAAGTCAAAAGTCAATACTAAAACTGTACTGGTCAATATTTACAACATGTTCTTCAAATCCTACTATATTTTACTAAAATGAGTCTAGTACATCAATTATGGAGAAATACAATTGAAAATAACCACTTGGAAGCTGATTATTTCGATTTTTCTTCCCTCCCATGTGCCTAATAGAGAGTGCATTCGCGCTTTGTGCCACATCAGGTCTAGGGAGGTCAAGGCTAAATCAAATTACCAAGTTCACGGGGTTAATTAGGCCAAAGCAAAGTTTAGGTGCGCACAAAATAGAACTCGACAAGTTTAGGGGGTCCTGATCTAATCTGCCAGATGTTATAAAAATTGTTTGAAGAGCTAGAGATAAACAAGAAAAAGAGGCAAGCAGATAAAAAGTAAATCTTCTGCAACAAAGTCAACATAGACCAGTAGGTCAAAAATGTAAAAATAGAAGGATAGTGAAGAATTTTATGAATATATCGATGGTCTTCCATCATACATACTTCTGCTCATGGCACAAAATGGTGACCAAATAAGACATCAAAATAAGAGACTTTGTGTAGAGCAAATTGGAAGAACTCTAAGCACTCAGTACAACATCCACCTAAGACCCAAGAGCAAAGTACATGATGTGGTTGGATAAAGAAGGTGCTTCCTAGACCTAAACCTTGAGATTCCCCCAAGTCATGAGAGCAAAAACAGTGCAACTGGACCACATTTGCATGTGGCATAAGTATATAATTCACATAAAAATTGTCACGTGCATGAAACTTCCAGAGCTAACTCTGGTTCAGAACAACCGTGATCTGCCAACCCAAAATGGTTTGAGAACATAATAGAAGCCAGTAGCAAAACCAAGTGTGATAGTTTTTGTTAACTTTCTTTTTCGTGTAAAGCCAAACATATAGATGATGAGGTTAAGCTCGTAAATCCAATTACTACCATACAAGACTATAGGAATTCCAGGTCCACAAAATGTAAATAGTCCGCACCAGGACTTGAGGGAGCCTAGTTGTTTTAGTCCTCTACTTTATACATGCACAGGCTCCATCTTATTGCTGGATATCAGTAAACCATTTACTGTTTACTTAATAAAAAACAAAGCAACTATGATATGCCATACCATTCTATTTAAATATTCTTACATGTGCATTTGCATGGAGCGTGTTTAAGATTTCATTTCCCAGAATTGTGATTTCACATTTGCATAGCATGTGTTATTAAGAAAATCAGAATACTTTAGAAAAAGAATTCACCAAGTAGATTATAACATATTAAGTAAAAATCCAGCAGACCTCAGTATCAAGTGCTGGATTCTTACTGGATATGGAGGGAAAGGACATGGGGATCTTACAGAAGGTAAGCAATCCATCAGCATCAGTCATGAGACATACAATTCAGGAGGTGCACTGTAGGGGAGCTATGAACTAGTTTATCCAGGAAACTAATTGATTTTAATCTCTATCCTTAGTATGCTTAGTTGAATGTTATTTTTATGTTGAGATAAGAGAGTTGAAGACTAAGGTTTGGGAACTGTCCAGTCTTGAGTATCTTGTGATGTACATATTCTCTTAGGTAATAAAATGTTTATTATACCAAAAGAAAATATATATAGTAAAAGTCATTCAACGAGAAAAAGAATTTCTGAAGAGTTAATATTGAACTAATAATCCAACTGGATTACTATAGAACTTCACATTTTGTAAAAATAAATAAATTGACAAATTGAAACATTATCCAATTATTTGGAAAACATCTAGTTTTGCTATACTTATCAACAGAAGTGTTGGTGACATACAACCAAAGGAACTGGCTAAGTGGTCACTATATATCAAGAATGTAACATTAAGACAATAAAAGATCATCAGAAAGATAATATCCACATGCTACATCATCAAAATCTTTTCTTCTAAATAAGTAGCAAAATTATCTTTCAATGGGAATTCTCAAAAAATAACTGAAGATCAGTATTTAAATTAGGGGAAATTCCTTAAAACTCCCATTTCACAAACATTCCCATCATGCAAGAAGGGAAGAATTTTCAAAAATGGGAGTTGAGCAAACATGGTTTTGTTAATGTGTTCAGAATTCAGATTTTAGAGGTTTTACTGGTGTGTTTTACTTTTTTTCATTTTTGGGGAGAAAGGAGATAGATTAGGGTGCGGATATATAGGTTCCACTGATGTTTTAGCAACATGGCATATTCATCATCTATGCAGACATAGAACTCACTTGAGTCAAATTGTTGACTTGGATATTGAACCTTTGAATTATATCAGTTACGTTCTTCTTTGGCACAGCTTTTCCTGAAACAGAAAAACAAAACATGTAATGACTGCTAAAAGTATCCCACATTAATTTACATTTTCTTTCAACTATTTTAACAATGTCCTGCTGACCCCGAAAAGGTTGAGCTGCCCGAGCCCCGAAGAGAGACATGATTTTACAAAAAAAAAAAGCAAGAACCTACTTATATTCAAAGAACTTCAACCAAACATATATAGGAAGTTCCAGTTGAGGAACAGAAAATGCTTTAAGATGATGAGAAAAAAAATTCAACAGGGAACAGAAACAGATTAATTGGAGTGGAAGGTGCAGAAGCTGGTCATCAAACATCCTCTGGTATATATAACAGGTAATAGGAAAAAAAAAAATTGTGTCCCATAGCCGGCTTCTGAGGACTAGATTACACCAAATAGAGTTAAAAATAGAAAATAAACAATTAAATCTGCTTCCCTGTTGAGCTCAAAAAGCACTATTGGAAAATTTGATTAAAGCAATATAGACAAATGCAAACCAACAACATCAAAGTGACAACTCCTGGTCTTCCTCCTAAAGTACCACTAGGACCAAAGTAACAACCTTCCAGTCTCCTTCCTGAAAAAATACTGCCAAAGCTTTGAACTAATTACAAATCATTCATACCATTACCAGAAGCAAGAAAAATTCCAACTTCATAAACATGAAACATAACATTTCAATGAAAGAGGGCCAAAATCGCAAACAAGATTCACCATGTGTTCCATACAAGATGCAACAATTTGAACCTAATTACAGAAGAAAATCCATATTTAACATAACTTAAACTGAGAAGAATTCTGGTGTGAATCTTAGCCTTCTAAGCAAATATCACAATCGAAAGAGGAGATCGGGATAGAATAATAAGAGTTGAAAAAGGATAGCAAGGTGAACATGCACAAGCTCCTAAATTTGAAATTTGGCAATCAAAAGATGAAGAATTTTCAGACCTGGAAGATGGATAATTCATCTTGGAAAAATTGAGAAAATTCCAAGTAATAGAAGTCTTGATTCACTCGTATTGATAACGCAAGAAGTCATCCACTTGAAACATTAATCTATAACATATTATGTCGTGAAAAGAGTAAAACAGTTCTGAAGGACATGTATCATTCAAGTCCTCACAAAAATAGAGTTAAACAGTTAATAAATTGAAGCATTTGTTAAAGATAACGATTTTTTACCATTAAAAATCCACTCAGACTTGTTCCGCGTATCTATTTTTCGCACAATAGTTAACTGGTCCTCTTTGGTTTCCCCTCTCAAGGAAATCTTGATGTAACCTGATTCTTCCCCGCGTTTCACAAATGCTCCAATACTAGAAGCCCTCCCCAAAAGCTGCAGTTTTACACAATTTGCATCTCAATTAGTAAAAGTTCATCCCTGAAATTCACAGGTAATAATTTTTTGATTCCTTCAACTTCTTCTGACCTGAGGCTCACCACCAAGACCGAGTGCTATTGCACAAACTAGAGAACTCTTTCCAGAGCCATTTGGTCCAATTACAAGATTTAATCGGGGGCCTGGTTTGCATGTCAACTTGCTGAATGTCATGAAGTTATGAAGCTCAATCTCAGTTATGTTTCCTGGCATATAATCATCTTCGCCCCTACACATTATAACACAAATATGCAAAATAAGCATCCTAAACAATGAAACCAGTATTCCAATTGAACTCACTACAAAAATCAAAGCCACAAAGAGTTAGGATCCTTTTGAAACTTAGTAAAACGAACCTCCTCGGTCTATGGCCTATCAGTTTCATCTTGTTGGTGGAAATCATCAGTTCAACAAATAAACAAGAACTATAACCAGATATATCAGTAAAACGCTTTTTGGAATTGGTTTTACAGATATTCAAGTGAAATTATACAACAAAAGGACGAATAAACCCTAATATTATAACACGCCTGATTGTTTTGCAGAAAAATACCTTAAAAAAAGAAAAGAAGTTATCGATCACAAGAAAAGAGAGAAAGTTCAAAACTTGTATGCAGTGTAAGTGAAACGTTTGTAGTACCTGGTGATTTTGGGGCGTTTGGCCCGACGTTCCGACATTGAAGTAAACGGTAAGGAATGAAGGAAGAAAATCAGAGAAATTTCTCGGCGCGAATTCCACGATAGAAAGCTCTCCTAGGGTTTTCTTTGCCGGAGAAACACTCGCCGGCGACTAGCGAAAGAGAGTGGAGAGAAGCAGCCGCTGTGATATGCGAAAGATGATTTTGGCGCCAAAAGAGACTTGGGGAAACGTGTGACCAATGCTTCTAGATGCGGCTCTGTCTACTCTTCTGGGGCCCAAATATTCCTGCGTGTCAAAGGATTATTGGTGGTTTTTTTATAAAGAAAATGTTTTGTAAAGATGTTGTAAAAAAGTAGGAGTACTAAAAAAGTTTTTTTAAGTTAATAAATATTTGAAAATAAATTTTTAATTGGTGTTTTTTATAAAGAAACATTTTTGCAAAGATGTTGAAAAAAGTAGTACTAGAAAAAGTTTTTTAAGTTAATCAATATTTGAAAATAATTTTTTAAATTTAAAAAAAAAATTGTTAAATTTTATAGGTAAATAAATATTTGAAAATAAATTTTTATAATATATTCCAAAATTTATCATCAAATGCTAGAGAAATTTAAATTTTACTTTTTCGAAATTAAAAAATTATTTGTCAAAATGTATAAACCTAATAAAAATGTTATAGAAAACTTAAAAAGCTTTATAATTCAAACTTTATTTTTCCGAAATTGTTAGTAGTAGTACATTTAAAATGATTATAGTAATTTATTTTGATAGATATTTAAAACATCCATAACAAAAAAAAATTACTTTAAAATTGTTTTAAAGGCGGTGCGCTCTTTAGGTGAGTTAACACAACATGATCTTTTTACTTATTTTAGAAGAAGCTTTGAGAAAAATTCAAATGATACACTAGGCTTGTTATGATAAGTATTAGGTAGGACATTTTCATGCATAAATTACAATATAACCTTGACTGAATTAAGTCGTAGTAAACATTTCGTTTTTATTTTTGATATAGTTTTTTTTTTAAATAACAAAGATTACTAATAATAAAAAAAAAACATCTTGTGTGGAAAGTAAATTTCTCTAATATTCTAATTTCATATTATCTCACGCACTATTTTTATATGTTTTTAAAAAATCATCTTACACTCCCATAAGCTCAACTTTATACCTTTTATTTTGCAAGCTAACCTATTTAGAGCTCACATGATAATCACAACTTGTGAATTTACATTTATAGAGAGTTTTGAAGTATCAACTCTTCTTAATGCCTGAAATTGATTGCACTATCTGTTGACACTCAATTTTGGACCTTCACAATATAAATTAATCATCGAGCTTCCTCAATTTCAAACGATTTAAAATAATTAGTTTTATAAAATTTCAAAATAAAATAAAATATATATAGTTTGAAAGTTATTTTAAATAGTTTGTCACTTTTGTAATTTTCAAATAATAATATGTTTCATATAATTATGTTTATAATTAGTACGTTTTATGAATATTCGAAAATTGTCTCGAAAAGATTTTAGTTTTACCTAAATATTTGGTTAATTAGTTTAGTTATATGATGGTCTATATGTTGAGTTAATTAGTTTATAATTAAATTAATTATTTTATTTTGTTAAGATTAAGAAGTTCGTTAGTTAATTATATTAATTCGTCTTATTTAATTACTAGCCGAATTAACTAAAAGAATTCAATTTGGCTAGATTGTTAACTCCAAATGGCCACGGTTTAAAATTCATATGATCATTATCTTAATTCCAAGATTAGCTTTTCCCAGCCCATTCTCCCATTTCCTTTTGTTTTCCAATTTCCAGTAACCCATCAATTTCCCTTGTCCAATTTCCTCTCAACCGACCCAGCCCACAAAACAATTCCAATCCAAAACACCTAGCATCAATACAATACAACAACATCCCAACCGACCCATTCATTCTCAACCCAAACCCGGCCCAATTTCTTACCCACAAAAAGAACCCAGAACGTTCCAAAACATCAAATACGACATCGATTCCAAACATCAATGCTCTCACAACGTCCAGCAGTAGCAGAATATTCCAAGAGCAATTCGATTATTCCCTTCCAACGTTCACTAGCAGCAAACAGTTTCTCACGGCAATGCACGATTCCCAAATGGAAATATAAGAAAAGTAGCAGAAGCAGTGAGCAGTATGCTGCAATTTTGTTTTCTTCTCCAAACGTCCCTATCCTTATTAATGTCGTAGCAGCAGCCAAGCAAGTCGTTGGTCCCCCACTTTCCCCTTTCGGAATGGGGTTGAATTCTCAGGAAAATGTGTCTCCCCCAAATGGTGAAAGACTTTTGAGTTTGAATTTTGAATGGGGCCATTTCACCCGAATTCCCCCCAAAATCGTGCCCTAATTCCTCCTATTTAAACCCTTCTCTTCTTCTTTGTTGGGGGTGGGAAGAAAATTGGGGATATTGAGTTGGGAAAAAAGTTGGAATTTCAGTTGATACGAAATAGGTTCGAGTTTTGATTTTCGGCCTTCTTTAGATTTTTCGGTTTCCAGTAGCTAAAGACTACATACAAGAATATATTTGCAAGAAGAAAGGGATAGATACAGTTATTAAAACTGGAAATTCTGAGTCCTAGAAATCTGTTTCGAAGCTTGCATAGGAGATTTTTCATAGTAGCCTTGTTTGATTTTCATTTGTGGTGAAGTCGCTACTCCTCTGTTCGTTTTGGTCGCAGTCGCTGCCCGGAAGAAGGTAACGCTCTCTCCCTTTTAATACTTTCCTCATCTTTTCCGTTCCAGCATAATGTCTATAGTTGTGCTTTTGTTTTGTTTGCTATTGTTTGTTGTTGAGTTCTGGATGGTTTGATATAGTGTGTATTTCTTTATGCTATTTCAATGTAGTTGGATTCGTCTGTTCAAATCTATATTTTTTCGTTTTCGATGTCTTAAGATGTCAAAATGGGAACTCATTTCGCTAACGTTGATGGTATGAGCTATTTCTTCTTCAAATGAAAGATGATTTCTCAAACTGTCTAATATGGAAATTGGATGTTATATTATGTACTGTTTGAGATTAAGTCGTGGCTGCTCTCCCCTTCTTGTTATATTTGTTTGGTTTTGGCATCTCAAACCAACGTGTTGGTATTCATGGCTATTTGTTTGTCCTGGAAGTCCAGTTTTCAGTTTAACGGTATATTTTGGCCCAAATATGATTGTTTAGCTTTACTATTTGCCATGTTTTGGTGTTACTGTTTGATAGTATCATCCTCTAAGGATATTACTTTCTTCTTTTTGCCTATTTGTGTTTATATTTGCTCTATATTTTGCTATTATGTATTCCCCTGATAAGACTTGGCAACGTTTAGTTCTAACTAGTCCCCTTAGGAAAATTTTGGAAGCATATGGTATATGTTGACCAATTCTTATTTTTTTATTTGTTGTTTATAACCTCTCTAGTTATTACTTTTCTCTACTGTGCTATTCCATGCTGGGGATATTATAATTTATGCTTTGTTAGTTCTTATGTTTGGACAAATATGTATATTGTTCCTATATTTCTCTAATCACTGAAGTGTACTGTAATGAACAAGTTTTATCTTTGTTTCTCCATCTTTGTCATCTTGTATGTGTGTCATTAGTCTACATAATTATTTAAGTGCCTATAGTGTTCTCTTTATTTTTCTTTTAAAACTATTGTTGTCCATGTGCCACTGCACGATTCTCTCAAATGGGGATTATGTGTTAATTTCCACTTTCTTGGGTCAAAATGCATATTTTCCTGTAGGTTGGTTTACACTTCTTGCATCTATATCAGTTGGAATTATATATTAACTCCTTATACTCTTTTGCTTGCATGTGAAATCTGTCGGAGGTCACCACGAACTCGTTCCTTTCCCTTGCATTTCCAAGAGAGCCATAAAGGCTCAATTTCCTGTGTTTATCAAGTGGGCCAACTAAAAATTGTCGAACATGTCTCAGTTGGGAGAACACGCAGCAATTTTGAGAATTGAAAATTGGGCCTTTATTTCAGAAGACTGTATTTCGTTATTATTGGGCCTAAGCCCATTTATTCATTATGTTTGTTATTTTATAGAGTTTAGGACATGTGAAAAATTGGGCCTAAGGCCTAAAGAAAAATATTTATTTTTACGTTAGTTTAGGACAGGTGCAAGTGACTCTAATGGCCCAAGACAAAATGGACCCAAATACTGTCCCAGACGGACAGGAAAATCAGATTTGGGCCCAAATCTCTTTCCATCTTCAATTTGATTATGTTTGTGTTTGTTGTTAATCTTAAGGTCGAAAAAATTCAAATCCCCGAAAGACACCCATTTTGATTTAACAATTTAACTAAATCGGTCTTTTAATTGAACTTAAAGAATAATTTTGAGAAATATCTCACTTAGATATTAGTTCTACATTCTCCTCCTTTTCCCTTTAAAATGATTCTAATTATAAAAATTGTTCAAATCAAATTAAGTTAAATTATTTTAGCCAAATAGTTAATTGCCGGATAACCGCGTATTAGCGGACATTTCGGGTGCTTTAAAATTCTTCTCGAAATGCTAATACGAACCCTCGACCCCCTTAAATATTTTTCAATTGATTTCCTGTTTTAACCTTTTGAAAAAATAGTTTTCTTAATTTTTCTTGAAAATTAAGTGGTGACTCTTAAAACCAGTCTAATAAATATTTTTTAAAATAAAATACTATCAATAATGAATCACACAATTTAGTTACATCATACGAGATAATACACATCACACTTATTTCATCATAACATTTATAAATTTTGTTAATCTTTTAATATCAAAAGTCTAACGTAAATGATTATTATGAAAGGAATCAATTCATAAATCTATTCCTAAGATTACTACTAATTTGTTTCCTTTTCCGTTTTAATAGTTAACCATAAGTTTCTTCACATTGTATCGAACCTATGGACAACTTTCTGTGGCTCCTGTTTTTTAGTTAAATAAAAAAAGAGATAAGTGGTTAAAACACACCTAAAATATACCTTTTTTTTGAGTTTCATACCTGAACTATTGAAAGTGTGAGAAACACACCTAAACTATTACACTTTAGTTTGAAAAACACACCTCTGTGCTGACTGGACCAAATGTGTGTGTACACACTCTTTTACGCGCGTGTGGCCTTGATTTTCGTCCACATGGCTTCTTCTTTTTTTAAAAATAAAATATCAAAACACACCTAAACTATAAAATTGTTTGACTTCCTCACCTAAACTATTAGGAGAGTAAGAAACACACCTAAACTATCATTCATAAATTTGAGAAACACACCTTAAATTATATGTTACACTAGTTGCTTAAACTCGCTCAAAAGGGACTGATATTTGTATATCAATGATGCCATACAAGGAATCCACGACGCCCTTTGGTAGCTTTAATAATTTGAGGGGTGAGTGTTTGTCCATGACATCAGATTCTATTTTTTTGTTTGTTTAATAACTAGTTAGACTATATTTGTGGTATCATTATGCCACCAAATAGAGCATATTTTCTTTCTATT